CCTCAATGTCCGAGACCGAGACAAGACTGAGTACAGATGCTGTCAAGTCCGAGACGAGACCAAGACCATCAAAAAGTGGTCTTGAGACCGGTCTTAAGACCAAGACTGGTTTCAAGTACTACAACACTAGTTACAACTAATCGGGGATCCCTTTAAAAAACGTCCAACTCGACCCAAATTTCAAGTCAGGCTTGGGTAATATATCTAAATCTACTTCAGAAATAATTTACTAAACATCCTGTTGATCATATTTCATCGTTTCAACACATATATTGTGCAGAACAACAAAGAAACTTATACAAAATATAACTTTATTGTCACACATCACAGCTTTTTAGCCTTTTATTCTCAACCACAACCCATCATCATCATCATCATCATCATCATCATCATCATCATCATCATCATCATCATCATCATCATCATCATCATCCCCAGAATTCATTGTGTCAATAAAAAAGTGGTAACATGCTTAAATGAAAAATGTTACAAACTTGTATATTTTGGTAATTAGGAGTTTTCACGCGTTAAAAAAACAACTTTTAGTAGAACGGAGAAATAACATGATAAGACCAACATGAGACAGTAGTCTGAGATCACAATTTGTCCACTTCTGTRTGAAAAACATCTGTTCAAGAAAATATCCAGAGTAGTGTAGACAAGGTTGTAAATTCATTCTACACAAACAGCTTTGCAGGTTTGTGTTTTTTGTGCAACTTTGCCTTTAATAATTTTACACCATCTTTCTTTAAAAGCATGTTTTGTCAGTTAAGGCGTAAAGTAAAAATGGGGATATTGGACAAAATGTGCCGAACGCTGCAGCACTTTTCTTGTTGTTGACACGATGCCTTACAGCCGCTGTTATCTAAAGCTGTCCTGACCACCGTCTCCATAGGAGCTTTAAGAGGAATATTACTTTGTGCCATATCAGCCAGCAGCACCTGTGCRACATGAGAGAGAGAGAGAGCCTGATAATCTGACTGTGGATTACCTGCCCCGCCTGCTTCACTGGGGAGCAGCCAGACCCCCTGCAAAACACAGACCTTTCTGCCATGCTTTCATTGTTCGCCCTACGCCTCAAATTTTTATGAGAGCAAAGTCTAGACGCTTATTTCCTGGTCAGAGAATTTAAAGCAACAAAGTTARGTTCAAAAAGACAAAAGAGGAAGAGCTTTTATTGTTGCCATCTTCAACAATCTGCAAATTRAGTCTACAGGGGTATCAGGGAAAATGACTCTGCCCTTTTCAT